TGGTTTGCAATAATGAAAGGCCATCATGTTTTGTCCTTATTTATTTTCAGCACACATCTCCCACCCAGAGAGATCCCTCCAACCACCATTTATTTAGGGATCCCTTCTCTGTCCCAGCTGCCTTCTCTCCCAGCTCATAAAGCAAGCTTTCAGCCATGGACAAATCTTCCTGACCCTGTCTCTACTGTCCTTGGGTGTTTGTCTCATATTGTGATATTTTATATTCCACAAATGAGTGCAGTCATTCTATGCCAGTCTCTCTCTTTCTGACTCATTTCACTTAGCATGATACTCTCCATGACCAACCACTTTTAAGCAGATTTCATGAATTCATCTTTTCTAACAGCTGCATAGTATTCCATTGTGTAGATGTACCAAAGTTTCTTTAACCAGTCATCTGTTCTCGGACACCCGAGTTGTTTTCAGTTTCTGGCTATTCAGGGATCCAAGTAGGGTTGGTCATGTGCAACAGAATCTTTGTATTTTTTCTCCAGCAGCCCACCCTTTTTCTTTTTCATGTTATTTCCTGCTTTCTTTCTTTGTAATTATTGGAATAGGCCCATAGACAGAATTTCATTGTGTGATTTCTAAACAGTGAGCACAGAAGATAGTGTGTGTGAAACCATCCTAATGAGGAGATTTTGTATAGTGAATACTCTTTCTCTGCCTCTTTATTTTTGGTTTGTGTTTGTCCCATATGCAGTGATGCTCAGGACTTGCTCCTGTCTCTATGCTCAGGGATCACTCCGGGTGGGGGTAAACACCTTGCCCACTGTATTACGGCTTTGGTCCCAATGACCTTATGTGCTCATCATTGCCAGATGTACTTGACTCTAAGTTTTTTCCCTCTGTCATTTTGTTCATTTGGCAAATAGAGAGAAAACAATCCTCCATTAGTATGAATTTACAGCTACAAAAAGCATGTTCTTCTTTGTACCTGTCAATGCGGACATACACATGGAAACTGCAACTTGTCATGCATTATTATTTTCTCTCATCTCAGGAAGATGGTTGGCACAGTGTTGAGTGATAGTAGCTGCACTGGAATTCAAAAGACACTCCAGATAGATTTGTGTCATTCCACTGCCATTTGAATACAGAAATAATTTCCCACATTTAGATTTTAGTGTCAAATTTCCTATATGAAACCAAGAGAAGAAAATAAGACTTCCACCTGCCCTGAAGAAACTTGTGTTCTCTCTTAGGTATGTCTTTCTTTCTCTCCTGTTTTCCCTTTACTTTTCTCTGTGGAAATTTTAATATAAAACTGTTTTGCTTCACACACAAAAATAAATTAATCAAGTTTTTTAGTAATTTTAAGATTTAATAGATTTTAATTTTATTAAATTTAATCATTATGGTTTTCACATGTTTACAAGTGTTAACATTTAAAGTTTGAGTGTGTACAGTTAATATAACTCCCCACCATCAAAGTTCCTCAAAGCCTCCACCAATGTCACTGTGTCACCTCCATCCTCTTTATCTCCCCCCAACTCTTCCCCTTGTTTCGTAGTACCAGTTTTGTAATAAGAGTTGTTATCATTTGATAGTAACATTTCATCGCTCTGTTTCTTTGTAGATCACAGTTGAGTGAGACCATCTGATATTTTATTCTCCCTCTGATTTATTTCACTTGATATTATGTTGTCCAGTTCCAGGCAAACGGAGGTGAACTAAAAGATTTCATTTTTTGTTATAGCTGCCTATTATTCCATTGTGTACACATACCACAAATTCTTTATCCATTCATCTTTAGGTTGTTTCAATAGTGCGGCTATTGCAGTTGGTGCTGTAATAAGATAGGTGTTCATATATCTTTCAAATTAAAGATTTGGTACTTAGAGGATAGATGTTGAAAAGTAAAATCACTAGGCCATATGGATATTTCATTCTTGTTTTTTAGAAAATTCTCCATACTATTTTTCATAGAGGCTGAACAGACAAAATTCCCTTGAATAGTAAATGAGGATTCCTTTTTCAGATGTCATAGACTTTAAACTGGTATTTTAAATGTACAGGGAATGTGTCTTAATTCCTCTGTTATGAGAATTTTAATGTAAAAATATTTTATAAAGGATGAAATATATATATATACACATATAGTTGTATACATATATACCATTGGAATGTTGGAGAAATCATGACATCAAAATTAATGAAAAGTATAAACCGGAGTCAGGTACATTAAGAGAATATAACAAGTGTATATCTTCCATTATTGACTGCTTGGTAGTCAATTTCATAACTTCCTAAATTGCTCTTTAAAAACTAGTATCATGACAAACTGTCCAACAAACACTGTCCTCCCATTGTTCATCGACTTGCTCGAGCGGGTCCAGTAACATCTTCATTTTTGAAACTTGCTGTTACTGTGTTTGTTTGGCATATTGAATACGTCACAGGGAGCTTGCCAGGCTTTGCTGTGAGGGCAAGATACTCTCTATAGCTTGCTGGGCTCTCTGAGAGGGGCAGAGGAATTGAACCCGGCTTGGCCGGGCTTGCTGCATGCAAGGCAAACACTCTACCACTGTGCTATTGCTCCAGTCCAGCATCATGACACAATGGTTTATTTTTTTACCTTTTTCCAAAATCCGTCCCTTCACCAGTGTACATTTCCCACCACCAAGAGCACCAGCTTACCTCCTGCCTCCGTGGCAGGTACTTTTCTTCTCTCTCTCTCTCTCTCTCTCTCTCTCTCTCTCTCTCTCTCTCTCTCTCTCTCTCTCTCTCTTTCTCTCTGTCTCTCTTTAGTGTGAGTCTTGCTAGTGGTTTCGCGGTCTTGTTTATTTTTTCAAAGAACCAGCTCTTGGTTTTATCGATCATTTTGATTGTGTTTTGGGATTCCAGCTTGTTAATTTCTGCTCTAAGTTTTGTTTTTTCTTTCTTCCTCCTGCCTGATTTGGGCTCCTTTTGTTGGTCTATTTTCTAAGATTTTAAGCTGTGTGGTTATTTAGGTGGGCCTTTCTTCCTTCCTGATGTATGCTTGCAGAGCTATAGACTTTCCTCTTAAAGGTGCTTTTGCGGTATCCCACAAGTTCTGCCATCTCATGTCCTCACTCTCATTTGCTTCCAGGAATCTTGTGATTTCCTCTCTAACCCACTGATTGCTCAATAGCCAGTTGTTTATTTACCAGGTATTTAATTTGATTCTCCATTTATGTGTGTTACTAACTTCTAATTTCTGTGCCTCATGGTCTGAAAAGAGAGTTGATACCATTTCTGTCCTCTTAATGTTTTAGAGGTGTGTTTTGTGTCCAAGCATGTAATCTATCTTGGAAACTGTTTCATGTTCATTGGAGAAGAATGTATATTCAGCTTTTGGGGGATGAAGGGCCCTAAATATCTACTGACTCCCTCTATCCCACTTCATCCTTTAAATCCAGTATTTCTTTGCTGGGTTTTAACCTCATTAATCTATCAAGGGGTGACAGGGCAGTACTGGTCTATAACTAATAATGTGTTGCTTCCAATGTCTTTCCTCAAGTCTATTAGTAGTTGTTTTAAGTATTTTGCTGGTCCCTCATTGGGCACATACACATTCAGGAGTGTAATTTCTTCCTGATATATGCATGCCTTGATTATTAATAAATGACATTCATTGTCTCTTGTAACCTTTTTCAGCCTAAAATGCATGTCGCAGGATACTAGTATGATCACCCTGGCTTTTTTGAGGAAGTTGTTTGTTTGAAGAACTACATTCCAGGCTTTCACTTTGAGTCTGTGTTTGCCTGAACTATTCAAATGTGTTTCTTGTAGACAGCAGAATTTTAGATTCAATTATTTAATCCATTTTGCCACCCTGTGTCTTATAATCAATACATTTACATCATTGATTATTGTGATGGGGTTTTGTGCTATCTTTCTTTTAGAGGGATTTTATGCTTATGGAGTTTGTCTTGCCTTACAGTTGTTACCCCTTGAGTTTTTCTTTTAAGATTGATTTTCAGCCTATGAAGTTCCTGAGCTATTGTTTAGCCGTGAATTTCTCTATCATTCTTTCAAATCTGAATAAGAATCTTAGTGAAGCCTTCATTTTGTTAAGTTTTTGAACTATATCGCACCACTGTCCTCAGGATTACAGGGTTTCATTCAATAGTTTCGCTGTAAATCTAAGGAATTACATGCTGTAAATCTTTGCATGTAATTCCTTTCTTTGATCTTGCTTCTTTCAGTATTGTATTTCTTTTTTTTTCTTTGTGTACACATTTAGTTTTATTGTAACAAAGCAACTTGTACACTTTTTAACGTTTAAAATTGAGCATCTTTTCTTTCCAGTGAAACAAAAAAAGAAATTTAAAAATAAAACAGGAACAAAATTACAATAGAGAATGTCAATTCCAAATAAGATCCTACAGGTTCTGCTGATTCTCCCATCGAGTGGCAGGGCTCAAGTCATCATTAGGAGAGAATTTTATTTTAAAAGTGTCACCTTAAACTGCAAGGATGTCCGTTAAACATCACAATTAAACATGCCAAAGGAGAAGCCATGTTGTCAAAATGCCCACTTAACCCACCCAAACATCTCAAACCCACCCTTTTGCTGACCTTCTATAACACCATTTTTTTTAAAGATTTTTTTTCTTTTTTTAAACAAGAGAAAGTAGACAGATACATGTTGGTAAACGCTAACTGTCCATATTCACATAGAGACACAGTGTCATCTCTGAGTCCAATATACAGAGAAAGGAGAAAAAAAGCTAGAATTCTATGCACTACTACACAGGGGCCTGGCCCTCCAGCTTCAGCAGAGCTAAGGGTGCAGAAGGTCTTTCTTTTTTCCCCGCAGCGCACGGTGGTGTAGATTCCATCAAGTCTGTGTTGAGACGAGAAGTGATAAAATTTAATTTGGAACAGAAACCAGTAGTCTTTCCCCACTGAATTCTGTTCAAGGTATTTCCCCGAATTAGGTAGAGAACCATGGTGTAAAGGAGAGAAAAAGAGACCTCAAAAAACAGGGCGACAGACTGAGCACAGGGAGTGGCGGGGCAGGGCTAGGGAAGGGGGAGAGAAAAGAAAAAAGACTGCATCTTGCTCCCAGGGACTGGAGAAAATTAAAAAAGATTGGAATCCGTCAGTGTTCCGTTAGTCATCTTCTCCTTCATCCTCCTCTCCTTCCTCTCCCTCGTCGTCATCTTCATCTTCTTCACCTTCATCTTCATCCCCTTCTTCATCTATATCTTCCAATCCTTCTTCCTCTTCATCATCGTCGTCATCTTCTTCTCCTTCCCCTTCTTCATCATCCATGTCAGGAACCAAGTAGTACTGCAATGGGTTTGGCCAAATGTCGTCTTTGATGACCTCGCCGAGCTCATCTGCACCAGCATCCGAATGGTGAGTGAACCAAGTGAAGAAGCTCTCGGGTTCCTCATGCTGTCTCTTCCTGCTGGCTTTATTCTGTGTTTGACTTGCGCGTTTCGTCAAATCCTTTCCAGATTTCCATTTGATTTCAGTGGCCTTTGAAGATGGATCACCACTCTCATTCAGATGAAATTCTTTGGAGAGAACTTTATTTTCAAAGTAAGGGTTTTCATCAAAATAAAAATCTATTCTGTAACCCGATTTAATATCTTCAAATTCTGTCACTTCAACTCTTGTCAAATAATGCAGCGCCTCTTCATCCTCCTCCCCAAGCAGCGCAGACACTTGTGGATGGTTGACAAATGTTGTTACCCAAAAGTTGGGGATTTGGGCGATCAATTCCGACCTCTTCTGAAAAAATGGTTGGCGGAGTATGTTATACTTCTGTTCTACTTTCAAAATCTCCTCACTGGCTTGCTCATTAAGTCTGTCTATTTCATTTTGTACTTCATCAATATGTTCAATCGCTTCCTGCTGCTCTTTTTCTGAGGTCTCGTCGGCCCCGTCGTGGTTGGAGTTGAGCTCCTGTTTACTGACTTTGGCCGCCGGCGCCGACGTGGTGCTGCTCCCGCGGGGGGCGGGCGGGGAGGCGCGAAGGGCAGGCGACGGGCGGCGGGGGGGGGCGGCGGCGGCGGCGGCTTCCCCTCTCGCCACACGCGCAGCTCCTCGCTCGCTCCGGCCGCCTCCTCCCGGGCTCGCTCGCTCGCTCGCTCGCTCCCCGGCGGCTGGCGCGCGCGGCCCTTGCGGCCTGGCGACGACGGCGGGGCTGGTGCGGCGCGGCGGCCGGGCCGGGCCCGGGCGGCGCGACGGCGGCGGGGGCGGCGAGCGGGCAGGCGGGCGGTGGGCGGCCGGGCTTCACTCACGCTCGTGCTCCAGCTGGCTGCTCGCTCTCCGAGCCGCCGCCTCCTCCGCCGCCGCCGCCTCCTCCGCCTCCTCCTCCGCCTCCACCTCCACCTCTTCTCTCAGTATTGTATTTCTATCTACGGTATTTGTCATTCTGATTACAATATGCCTTGGGGTCTTTTCTATTAGGACCTATTTTAGATGGTACTCTGTGGTCTTCTTGGATCAGGATGTCTGCATTCTCCAGCACTGGGAATGATGTCTTTACCTACTAATATCTCCTTGGGGTTGTCTCCCTGTCCCCCATGGTACTCTAATGATTCTTTTGTTGTTCCTCTTCAATTCATCCCAGAGTTCTCTGATCTAGATTGGAGTTATTTTGTGGATTTTCTCTATCTTTTGATGTTCCTTAGAGGTTTTCTGCATCTCATCCTCAAGTTCAGTGATTCTATCTCCAGCCGTTGTTACTCTCCTGCTAAGGGCACCCATTGAGTTTTTATTTCATCTACCAAATTTTTAATTAATGGATTTCTGTTTGCAATTTTCTTATTACTAGTCTAATTTCCTTCTGTATTTTATTGGCTGCCCATTCCACTGTATCTTTGAGCTCATTAAGCATTCTCACTAGTTTGTTTCTGAATTTTCTTCAGAGAGATTACCTATGTGAGTTTCAGGGCTCCTCTATTCATCCACTCCTCATTGTGTTTTTCTGCGCTGTTTACCTATGATGCCCACTGTACTCTGGAGGTTGATTCTTTCTAGCAGGCTATTAGCCTAATCCCCCTCACTGCCTGGGAAGGAGCTGGCGGGGTTTGGGGATGGTGGTATCTTCTTTCCCTGAATGAGATAGGGTGGGGGAAATTAACTGGCGGTCACAGGAGCAGTCACTCACCCCAACCTGTGGGAGGAGCAAGGCAACAGGGCAATAGAGTCTGTGTCCCAAACTGCATCCAGCTTTTGGGCCCCCAGGAAACAACACTTAGGTTTAGAGAGGAGAGCCTGGCAAGCTACCAAGAGTATCTCGCCCCTGCGGCAGAGCCTGGCAAGCCACCTCTGATGTATTCGATATGCCAAACACAGTAACAACAAAATCTCCAATGGAGACCTTACTGGGCCCACTGGAGCAAATCAATGAACAATGGAAGGGCCTTTACTTTACTTTCCTTTTTAGGTTGAAGAGATTGCCCAATCATCTCCCAGATCGATAAGCTATGAGATACCAGTGTAGATGAATATTTGTACATCTTTACTAGCAGTGCAGGCATCCCTCCCTTTCACATATTTTTTTCTTTAAAAAATTTATTAGTGTTTGGGGCTGGAGCAATAGCACAGCGGGGAGGGCATTTGCCTTGCACGCAGCCAACCCAGGCTCGATTCCCAGCATCCCATATGGTCCCCTGAGCACTGCCAGGGGTGGTTCCTGAGTGCAGAAGCAGGAGTATCCCCTGTGCATCGCAGGGTGTGACCCAAAAAGCAACAACAAAAAAATTATTAGTGAAGTTTATACCAGCTTGAATCAGCTTAAATCAGCTTAATCAGTGGCTGAATGAATAGCAATAATCCTACATTGAAAAAAATAATAAATTTTAATTTTTTAAAGTAATTCTACTCCTTAAATTTCTAGGAAAATGTTTTTAATTAAGTAGTTTATCAATGGAAGGCACTTTGCCTATATAAACTTTGTATTTTCTCTTACAGGGAAATTCCTACCTACAAAGTAAGCAGTGCTTCTGGGTTCAATTCTCTAAAAACTTCAAATATAACCTTCACTTTCACTTACAGCTAAAGTTCTGAGTAACAACAGAGTAAGGATTAACAGCACATATGGTTACTTAATAGAATAAAGTGAAATATTTTTATTTTTTATATTCTAATGTTTTCCCTGTTCATTTTTTATAAGCTGGTGCTTGTTATGATCACTTGTGGGTTTTATTCCAAAGGAATTTTGTTTCTCCCTCCCCCCTTTTTAATGAATCACTGTGAGATACACAATTACAAAACTGTTCATGATTGGGTTTCAGTCATACACACCCATTCCTTCACCAGTGTACATTTCCCACCAGCAATGTCTCAGTTTCCCTTCCATCACCTCCCCTAAATGATTATATTTCTTATTTAATTTTTATTTTCCAGTTCCCCACATAGTAAAACAAACTAATGTAAAAATTCTAAACTCCAGAGGATGAAAAAATAACATAATGTATTTTTGTATTTATTATTAGTGAAAAGTGTGGGAAAGTAAAATTGGCTCAGATGAATTTCATGTGTGCTTTCAGTGTAAAGAAAAGTGAATCAGAGCCAGAGAGATAGTACAGGGGTTAAGGTACTTGCCTTACATGTGACAGACTTGGTTAGACCCGCTGCTCTGAATGTATACTGCTGAGCGCTTTTGGGCGTGAACCCTAAGTACAGTCAGGAATAATGTTTGAGCACTACTGGATATGGCCCAAAGGAAAATGAACCAATAATCTAGTTGAACTATTTATTTCTTAACAAGCTATTTATTTATGTGTATAGTAGAGTAGCTATTTCCCTACTTAACTGCCCGAGGAGGTCAGCTAGAAACTCAAATGCTGAACAGTATGGTAGCTATAAACTGCTAAGGCTCTAAGTAAAAAAAAAATACCTATATTTAGGAAAATTTCAATACTGCCTTTTTAAAAGTTGCAAAGCAAAAACTTGATGTTGGAATAGTGTATGCTTGAAACCCTTTTATTAAGCATTTTGTAATTTAGAGCCTAAATAAAAATAGAAACAAGAGGGAGGTAAGAAAAATACGACATTGTTAATGAGAGTTTTCTTTGCCTTGGTGGTAATATAGTTTATTTATGCATTGTCCATAGTAAAAATAATTTTGTATATAATAAATAAAAATGTGATTTGCATGACACAAAAAGCTGCATGTAAACATAATGAAAGAGGCAAGATTATGAAATTGAGATTATGGCTCCTGACATGCCCTGTGATCAGACGTGCTGTGCCCTCACGCTTGGGCTCATGTTTCCTCAGAATGTGGCTAAGCAGGGGCAAGCTGTGACCCCAGACGGCATTTCCTGACAGAAGCACAGGAAGGGGATCAAGATAAGCCTTAGCAGATTGTGGAACGATGCCTCTGGAATAGTAAAGAATATGGGGGATTGACGATGTAGGACTTCTTAGAAACAGCTTCAACTAGCAAATGCTCTTGCTAGTCATTACTGAAAGAAACAAAAACATTTGGGGGCTGGAGAGATAGCACAGTGGATAAGATACTTGCCTTGCATGCAGGCCTACCAGGTTCTATCCTTGGCATCCCATATGGTCCCCCAAGCCCCATCAGGTATGATCCCTGAGTGCAGAGACAGAGGTAACCCCCGAGCACTGCTGGATGTGGACCCAAAAACCAAAGAAACAAACAAATAAATAAAAACATTTAAATATGAAAAAGGAAAAAACAAAATTAGTAAAGTCACAGATTACATTTCTTTCAGCTAAATTACCTCGGGAAAAATCATCCGGTAGTACTTATTTTTTTTTTTACCTATTTCATTAGATAGATAAACACAGTATACGGGGATATGGCCCCAAAATTTATGTTTTGTTTGTCTTTGCTCTTTTCTATGTTGAGAAATGTATAAAATGTCACACATGCCTCTTCCAGGAAATATTTCATGGCAGTATTGATGGCATCCCTGACTGCTATAAAACTTACTCCCTTTTGGCTAAACTGTGTGTGGTATCAAAGAATCCCTGTCAAAGCAGTTCTAATTGTAAAGAACATTGAAGGTATTGCATTTCTGGAATTTAAGTTATACTATAAAGCTATAAAAAACATACATTTGTGTGTGCATAACTGGAGTCAAGATGCACCCTCAAATGAGTAGAATAGAAATGAGATCCAAGAGATAAGTCCTCAGATCTATGTACAGCTAATGTATAATAAAAAAATTCGCCTATGTGGTCTCCCAAACTCTACCAGGAGTGATCCCTAAGTGCAGAGCCAGAATAAGCACTGAGCACCACCAGCTATAGTGCCAGATCAAAATTTACTAATAATAAACTTTGCAGCATACAGTGTTCTAACACCACACCTCCCACTTGTGCCATTGTCCCTCCACCAGTGTCTAAAGGACCCTTCCCACCATCTTGGCAAACTTAGTTCTCTAGAACTACTCCCAGGTTCTGTTACGTTGGCCGTTATTCACTTTAGCCTTTTGTTATTCTCTTTTATGTTTCTTTGTAATCCACACATGAGAAAAATGATTCTCTATCTGTCCCTTTCCTTCTGATTGACTTCAATCAGCATGACACCCTCTAGTTCCATCCAGCTAACAGAGAATCGCAGGACTTCATCCTATCTAGTATTCCATTGTGCATATGTACCGGTTCCTTTTCTCCTCCCCCAATTGATTTAAACACTGGTTTACAAAGTTGTTTATGATGCGTTTGTTATAGGCATTCAATATTCCAACCCCAATTCCACAATCACTGTGACATTCCCTCCACCATTGTCTCCATTTTCCTAACCATTCCTCAAAGCCTGCCCCTACAGCAGGTCCACAATATTTTATTTTATATTGCTTGCCACCACTAAATGGCTAATAAAATTATTAAAAAATGCTTCATTAAAATAAAATTTTTAAAAATTTCAAAAAAAAATCTGGCTATAGCACACGCTAGGGGAAATGGCAGCTCAGACAGAGAAGGGAGCACCAAATAAAGGGTGTTGGGAGGATCCTCTCAGGATGGGAGAAGCATGCTGAAAGTAGACTATAGACCAAACATGATTGCCACTCAATGCCTCTTTTGCAAACCACAACACCCAAAAGGAGAGAGAGAACAGAGGGGAATGCCCTGCCACAGAGACAGGGTGGGATGGGGGGGGGGGGGAAGGGAAGTGGGAGAGATACTGGGATCAGTGGTGTT